TCCCCCACTTGAATAGTACAAACTGAACTGAGTCAAGGAATCAGTTGTTTGCAAAATAAACCAATAAATCCATTCAACTTGTGTCCTGAGTTGCTCTACTCCGAACTCAAGAACGGAAAACGGAATGTTGGTGGGCAGGAAAAGAGATTTAAAGATGGGCTCAAAGCCAACCTTAAAAACTCTGGCATAGACACTGAGAACTGGGAGGCCCTGGCCCTTGAGCGCTCCAGCTGGAGGTCAGCTGTGACCAGCAGTGCTGCAGAATTCGAGGAGGCACGAGTGGAGGGTGAAAGAGAGAAACGTGCCAGGAGGAAGGCGCGTCAAGCCAACCCCGACCGGGACCGCCTTCCACCTGGAAACCAATGCCCTCACTGAGGAAGAAGATGCAGAGCAAGAATAGGGCTCCACAGCCACCTACGGACCCACAAGGAAACTCATGATGGAAGACCATCTTACTCGTCCAACGAGGGATCGCCTAAGTAAGTAAGTAAGTAAGTAAGTAAGTACGGTAAATAAATACACTTCTATTATATTTTCGAGTTACTAAATGATCATTATCATTTTTAACATATTGTTTAAATTTTAAGGGACCCCACTTGCCATTGAGCAAGCTGTCACCCTGGCCAGTCCGCTACTGTGTTCATTGCTTTTAAAGGCCATGCTTAGTAAACAAGTGAAATGCCATTCTTGTTCACTTGAGCTTCAATCTGTTCACAAATACCTAAGTGACACATTTCAGTGGAAAAAAATAAAGCATAGGTCTTTGAGAAACTACTATTGATGTGTTTTTTTCATGTTTCCCTAACATGGTTATTAGAAGCATATTCATACCTGTGTTGCAGTACTTTATCAGATTTGCTTTGTCCTTAATAGTGTCATAGCTACCATTGTGAAAGCCCTTGTGATGTATAAGTGTTGGATTCAGGAAGACTCTGCCATGCACTGGATGATCTTAGACAAGTCAAGATCTTTCAAAATGAAGGCAATGCCAAACCACCTCTGAAGACATCTTCAAAAGTCAGAGTTGACTTGAAGGCATATATCATCGACAACAAGACTTTTCCAATGTGCTTATATAGCTTAGTAAAAATAACCCTGGAAAAACTACAGGTAAAAATTGGTCTGCAAACACATTCAGTGGTTCTATTAGTATTGAAACTAAAGGTGTTTGATCATAATACAGAATGTTCTCATCCTAGCTCTAGCTCTTTGGAAGTAGCTGAAAAATAACTCACTTCGCATTGCATTTATCTTTGACTTTATGAAGTAAAGTGGGATCATTTAAAAACAGGAAGGTCAAAGGTTCAAATATTTAAACTAGTAGTGGAAAACATATGACTGTCCTGCAGTTATTGTTCTACAGTACACACCCCATAATCTACAATCACTACAGCCCTTGTGAAGGATAATGGGAATTGCAGTCCAGCAACTTGGGGGGGGGGCACATTCTACAATCATAGAATGGAGTTACCTCTTTATTGCCTGTTTAATAATCATGAAAAAGTGTTGTAAAAAAACCGACCACATTCCCCAAAACTAAACTCAACACAGATTCCAAAATCAAATATGAATTGTATTATATTTTTTACATATTATGAAGTTTTGCAATATCGAAACAATAGCATTCCCCCGGCCTGCAATAGACTTCATTTTCAACAGTCTGGTCAAGAAATCACACATTCCAAATGGGATTAGTTAACCTTTCACAAATATAACACCTGAGGGGAACTGAAGAGGAAATACGTGCCCACTAATCCCAGACAAAAAGTCCATTTGTAAACCCCTTAAGAAAAGGAGTTTAGCTCTGAACTATGTTCTTAAAAAATCATCTATCATATTTACAGGGCTATAACCCTTCAGGTCCCCCACATATATGTTGTAGATAAAGCAGGCTATAAATATAATAAATAATAATATATTAAAAATAACTAAGGTGCTGATTTGTTAGGCAAGAGGGGTTTATATATCTGTGAGATATATAATAGGGCTGGGCGGTTTCGTTTCGTTAATTCGTAATTCGTTAAAAATTCGTTATTTTTTGTTAACGAAGCG